CGCCCAGTTTTCCCGGCCCACGGCACGGCGCGCGCGCGATCAAACAACTGTGAGTGCGCGTGGTTCGCGCTTTGATTTCAAACCGGCCGGCCGCACGCACGCCCATGGAGCCTTTCTCCCCCTCCCAACCGAGACAAGCACGGCAAGAGGAAAACAACCACCGACTTCGAAACGGATTGAAACAAAGCGCACGAGCCTGGAACTCTTGGCTATCGGCGGCCGACATCACGGACAAACGCAACGGCTTGGGGCGGGCCGCCACCGTCGTCTCCGCCGTGTGGGGGGGGCAGATGATTGTCGGTGACGGAAGCATAATTTGCGAAACGCTGGAGATGGCGTCGTTCGTGCCGTCGCACCCACGTTGCACTGGTTGGGGGAGTTTGAAAATGATTGAGCGAGAGCACAACTGATGCATGGCCGGTGTGCCATCGCGTGCGCCTTGAAAAACAACAGCTGGAGAGCCGTCGACGTCGTGCAGCACGCTGGGTCGCACAGCACTTTGTGGACATCCTGGTTCGCGCGAGCAGGGCTGGTTGTTGTGCTCGTCGGGCCGTGTCGTCCGTGACCTGACGTGTCGCGTCGTGTTTGCCCTTGTCCCCCTTTCCTCGCGTTCGCTCTCATTTGGATCGAGCACGACGCGGAGCACCACGACGAAGACGCAAGAACAAGGCTTCCTCGTGCCAATCCCTCTTGACCCGCGGTTGATTTCCTTCACTTTGAACAATCAACCCGTAGGCCCAGGGGAACAACCAGAGCCGCGACAGCCAAGAGATCGGAAGCGCCCCGATGTGGCGTCAAGAAATGCGCCGAACAACGCTTCAACTTGAACAAAATCCAAAAGGCATGCGCGGCAAAAGGCAAACAAGTGACGTTGAACGTGTTGGTCACGACAGCGCCGCGCCAACGGGGGTAGCAATGAATATTTCGCCCAGTTCGCCACAAAAACAAGGGTCGCACAAGCGGACGCGAAACGCCAAACGCCGGGAGGAGGACATGGTCATGGGGCGAACGTGCATGGAGATTGCGAGCGCCGCCGCCAAGGAGATGCCACGCGCACGTTCCGCGGCAGAGGGGATTTCGGAAGGAGAGGCAATGTTGCGCAAGACCATGGGGGGTTGAGAACAATCGCCGGCGGTGGTGAAGCGTGTGCTCGTGTATTTTCTTACGGCGGTGGAGGACCGTGTGCCCGCTCAACAGTTGGGAGTTGCGAGGAAGTGGACGCTGGAGCGACTCTGGTCTGCCCGTCAGAGGCCGAGACGAGGGCGACGGCTCGCTCCACCACGGTTGCTGCGCGGAGCTCTTTTTGCGAGGAGTGCCGCCGCGCCGGTGGCGGCGCAACGGCCGCAACGGCGGTGGCGCGCGGCGGCGTCGGATGATATCTGCAGTGTGGCGGAAATGCAGCACGATCTCAGGCAGATTCATGTCCGCGTCATTCACATGTGATCGCGACGCTGTTCTGTTCCCGCCAGCTTGCTTAGCTGCAGCCAAGCTGTTCAACGTCGTGGCCACTGTCGGGTCGGGCGCGACGGCCCTCCTCTCAGGCACATCTACCACGGTGGACAGCATCGAAGCCGCCGCGATCAAGCTGCAACTGCAAGTTCTTGAACCTCGTCGTGCTGTTCGTGCTGGATCAAATCCGTCAACGCGCACTACCACCGGCGCTTCCAGCTTTGTACCGACGTGGTCATTTCGGCGACCGCAGCTGCAACGCTAGCAGCGTCGACCGAATTGGCCGACTGCACAGTCGTGCATTGCGATCAGCGCATCAGAATACGCCCGATACTCTGCTGCACGTCAAGCAGCATCTCAACATTATGGATACGCCAACGACACGCTCACTGGTGCTCGGGCTCGCGCTCGGCGTAATCCCGATCGCCTCGAACCTCTATCTCGGCCTCAAGACGGGTTGGGGGTGCGTACCGTCTCTTTGCTCCCGCTGCATGCTCCTGTGGGGCCTGACCGATTTGACCGAAGTTCGGACAAAAATCTAATACGCCGGCGTGGTTGTGGTTCGTGGTCCTAATTAGCTTTGGGTCCGAGTTTTTCGCGATCCGTAAGAATCGACACGCACTCGCGTGTGGTTCTCCACCGCCCCACCTGCACCGTGCGCTCACCACCCGTAACCACCCCGTCTAGTCCTTGGGTTCCCGCTCCTCCGGTTCGTCGACCGCACCTTCTACGGCGCTGACAATACGAGCACCGTGACCCTGCAAGAACACGGCCTGCTCGTGACCGTCTCGGTCGCCGTCTCGAACCTGACCATGTCCGGGTACGTCAACGGGATTCCCGCGCTCTACAAGCTCGGCCTGCTCGACCCAGCGGCCTACCCGGTGGACATGGCGCGGCTCGTCGTCTGGGGCACGACCGTGGCCTTGGTCGCGTGCTTTGTCGCGCTCGTCATGGCGCCATGGTTCCTGAAACGCCGCGATTTACCGTTCCCGTCGTCGGTTGGGGCCGCACACTTGTTGCGCCAGCTGCACGCGAATGCGGCTGCGTTGGTCGCGGAGGGGAGCGCGGTGGTCGAGGGGAAGGTGATTCCGCCGCTGGATGATGAAAAGGTCGCGAGGAAGCGGCGCGAGAGCGAGGTGCAGCAGAGAACGATGGTGCAATGCATTGGTGCGTGCATTTTGGCTTCTTGGAAAGTGGAGGATCGTGCTCGCTAACGTGCGAGCGGCGACCGTGATAGTTGGCTCGTTCTTGTTCTTGATGGTCGCGTTCGCCATCCCGGCCATCAAAGAGTACCACCTGTTTTGGTGGCTCGCCGGCGGACCGCCGCGCGCGGGCCCGCACCCGACTGAAGGTATGTTTTTTGCTCAATACTCTCCACCCACTCCGCGCTCTACGCCTGCTCGTCGTTCTCCACCTGCTCGATGATCTCCACGGCTCAATGTTCTCCACCCGCTTCTCATTCTTCTCATCCACGACCCGGACCTCCACTCTACAGGTCTAGCCGCCATCTTCTATAACATGGACCGGTTCCACCTGTTCTTCAGCGTCTCCTTTGCCTTCTTCGGCGCCGGGATGATGATGGGCGTGCGCACGACCACCTCCTTTTTCTTCGGCTCCTTTCTCGCCTGGTTCGGCGTCGGCCACTGGCTCGTCGAAAAATCCGGGTGGGTGCCCAATCCGTATGACCCACGCACGCGCCGCTACTCGTCCCCGACCTCCATGGACCCGTCGTCCCCTGGTGCGGCCTACTGGCTCCTCTGGCCGGGGATCACGATCCTCGTCACGCACGCCGCGACGGACCTGGTCTTGAACGCCGCCGCGTACTTCATCAACAGCGTAAGGGGGACGGTGTCGGGTTCGCGCGCGTCGAGTACCACTGCGGTACCGGACCCGAACGACATGAAGGGGCCGCCGGTCGTGCATGGGACGCACGACGTGTCTGGGTTCGCGGGGAGGCAGGTGCGCGTGCTCAAGTACGTGGCGGCGCCAATGGCGGTCGCGCTGTGTGCGATCATGACGCAGGCCACGTTCCGACTGTCGTTAGGTGTGGCCAGACTCGCGATCGGGTTGGGGGTAGCCTTGACGTATATCGCAACGCTCGCGTCGGCGGTCACGGATATGAATCCGTCCGGGACACTGGCGAAAGTCGCCAAGGGGGTGTTGGCGATGGTACCCGCCACGTCGTTGGCGCAGCGGCAGGTCACGACGGTTGCGGGCGCGATGGTCGCGGCGGGATTGGTACGTTTCTACTTGTGAGGTTGCGAACGGGCATTTGCTGACGTGAATGGACGGAGACTAGTCGTCGCAGACGGTCGACCTCGTCAGCAGTTTCAAGCTCGGACAACTGTGCCAGATGAACGTGCTCGCACAAGGTCCGCCCATTTTCTCCACCCTCTCTACCTTCTCCACCGTGTCTTCTTCCCCTATCTCACCCTCTCGACCTGCACAGTGCGCACGCAACTCCTCGGCGCGACCCTCGCGGCCCCTCTCACCGCACTCGTCTTCTCGCTCTACGTGCACGCCTACCCGTGCATTCTCGCCGAGCGCGACGACGACTGTGCGACACAGCACGGGTTCTCGTTGACTGCGGCGAATACTTGGAAAGTGTTTGCGATCGCCATGGCCGATGGGCCCGCAGCCATTGCTGCGCGGGTCCCACCCTCGGCACTCTCTGCGTGTGGGGTGGCTGCGGCCGCGGTCGTCGTGACGGGGGTGATTCGCAGGATGCTGCTGCAGCCGCGGGGGTATGGGTGGATTGTGCCGCAGTGGAACGGTACGTTTCGGTGGTCCGGTCATTAGGGTGTTTCGTGGGCTGACCGAGCGTGGTTTCGGATAGCGATTGGTGTGGCCATGCTCAACCCGCGCACGGATTACGCGTTCGCCGCGTGGCTCGGCGCGCTCGTCTCGGTGGTCTGGCAGCGGCAGGCGCCACACGCGCATGACAAGTTGCTGTTCACGGTCGCGAGCGGGTTCATTGCGGGGGAGGGGTTGTGGGGTCTCGTGGCGGCCGTGATGAATATCGGTACGTGCGACCAGCTGGAGTCGAGGTGGATGGAGATGAGGAAATGTACTGACGCGAGAACACCGACATTTGTGTAGTCGGACTGTCAAACGGGTGGTTGACGCGAGCCGGTTTGCCGTGATGTGCAGAGACGCGCGCGAATCGCGACCAGTCTCGGCATATTGCTTTTGGTGAGCGACCCCAATGGACAGACTGGTGGTCAAGACTAGCATCGTTAGTGAGCATGGGACTGGCATACTTTTTTGTTTCCTGCCTGTTTCCAGGGTGGGGTGAAAGCGGGGAGAGGGCCGACCTCGTGCACACGGACGTATGGCACCTGTGCGCATTTAGGGACTGGGGCCAAAACGAGTCATGGCGACAGAAGTTCCGACAGTGACACTTTGGCGAGAATGCTTAAGGTGGTGTGGAAGGATGAGCAACATAAGAACATGAACGGGGAACAGCGTTGGTTTGGAAGAATCAAGCCAAGCACACCATGCACGCTGAAGGCACAGAACTGCCTGACTCATTACGTTCGCGAACCATTTAGTGGAGGTTGCGGGGTTCGAACCCGCGGCATTCCGCATGCAAAGCGGACACTCTAACCACTGAGCTAAACCCCCGCTTGTGCGTCGGAGGTCCCCGTTTTGCTCCTGTCAGTTTTGTTGTTTGTCCAGCGCTTCTTGCTGTCTCACGCAGGAAGGACACATGACTTCGGCGTGGGACCATGCTTTCCTGACTCACTCCCTCCGCCCTTGCCAAGGAGCCGATCTCGAGCTCGAACGCCGGTCTCCGGCGCCAGCACGCGTCGCTCTGGTCGGCGTCCCGACCGAGACTCGCAAACTTGCGGCACCGTCGACAACGCAAGCAGCTGCAGCCATGGCCGTGCCCGGCGGCATCGATGATTTGTTCGGCAAGCTCGCGATCCACGCCGTGACTGTGGTTGGCAAGGCCGCGTTTGGGCTCGCCGTCAAGCAAGCCGTCGGTGGGCTCACGGCCTTTGCCAAGCAGAAGCTTCAAGTGGGCAGCGGCAGCGGGGCCGGAAATGCGACTTCAGCATCAACACGTGCGGCGACACCTGCAACGCCCGGCGCGCCAGAGCGACAAGGCGACGGCGACGCGTCAAGTCCAGCAACAAACGACACCGATGCTGCAACCGACGCGTCGGCCGCCGCCGAGCAACAACGCCTGCGTGCCGAATTCGAGCGGCTCGACACGCAGCGGCGGCAACTCGAGCAAAAAGTAGCGATCCTGACCCCCTCCATCGACATGATCCAAGTCGTTTGCGCCAAGTCGAACCATGTTGGCCTGCACGCCGTCCTGACCATGGCGCAGGACCTGCACCGCGACCTCGACACGCTCTCGGCGTTCCTGGCCACGGCGCTCGGGTCGTCCGACAGCGTGCACTCGGTCTCGCTCGCGCAAGTGCACGCCGTCTCGGAACGCGTGCAGGCGATATTAGCCAAGATCGAGGACTCGGTGCCCTATCTGAACCTGGCGATCGCCGTGTCGGGCGTCAAGCTCGGCGGTGGGACGGGGAGTGCGGGCGCACGGGCTGCGGCTCCCGCGAGCGCGTTATCGCTCAGCGTGCTCCTCAACGCGTCGGCCCTTCTGCAGCGCGCGGCGCTCGCTGCCGACGAGGCCAATGATGGGTCCTCGACCGCGACCGTGCCCATGGCGTTCCCGTGCCGCGTCTACCGACTGTTCGAGGCGTCGGTCCGTGCCGAGGGCCGGCCCAACTGGACGTGGAAGCTCGAGCACTTGCAGTCGGCCGTGACCGTGCGGTGGGCCGATCCGACGGTCGAGGGCGCATCAGGTGCGCTCGTGGTCACGGACCGCATGGGCGAGAACGACACTCTGCACTGGGATTTGGCCGATTTGAAGCGTATGCTGTTCACGGCGACAGGGCGGCTGTTGAATATCCCGGATTCGAGTCCGGGCGCGCCCGTGCTCGTGCTGCATCTCGACGAGTACGTCGCGCTCGAAATTTTGCCGCCCGACGAGTGGGATCCGACGCCGAGCGAGAGCGAGAGCGACGACGACGACGACGAGGGCGACGAAAGCGACTTGGGCAACGACGACGCCGTTGATCCCGACCCCGATCCCGTCTTCCGGGTCCCGGCAACCCCGATCCGCAAACCCGCACGACGTCCCACTCCACCTACAAGCGCGATGGACGACGACGACCCGCTCCCCGTCTCGCACCAACTCTGTCTGCTCGAAGCCGTCCTGCGCCTAATCACCGTCGAGCGTGCGCTCGCCACACCGCACCTCGCCGTCCCCGACGACCTGCTCTGGGCGTACCTCGCCAGCGACCAAATGCCCGACATCGGTTCCGCCGCCGTCGCTGCACCTGTCCCGCTCCCGCCCGTCTACCTGTCCCCCGCGCCCGCGTCCGCGACGGCGCCGTCACCCGCCGCGTCGAGAAGTCGCCGGTCGGTGGGCCGGTCTCCCGCGCCGCCGGCGCCAGCTGAGCGTGATGAGACCCCTCCTCCACAGCCGAGACGCAAGTCGCGCCCGTCGCGCCGCGGGCTCGAGCATTTGCAGCAGGTGGAACGCACGCCGGCGCCGGTCAGGGTGGCGAATTTGATGAACCGGTTCATGCATGCGGCGGAGGTGACAGGGTCGTCGGGTGCGGCGCCCGCAGGTGGGACTGGAGAGAGTAGTACGGAAGTGTCCCCGACGCGACCGGCGCGACGGAGTAGGCGATCGCAGCGCGGTGTGCGACCGGCCGAGGTTGGCGAGGGTGGCGAAGAATTGTGACTGAGTGTGCTTCGGTGAAAGGAGCACAAAGTTGCTCGAGATACGAAATCCATTCATTCTTTCCATTCCTTCACGTCTGTATCTATCAGCCCTCATTCTACACTCGCCCCAGACCGACGCATCGACCGCATCAAGCATCCTTCTCCACCCCACCCTCCATCACAGACGGTTGTGCCGCACTCACCAATCCCGCGACCCACGTCGCCAACACCCCAGCCCCCTCCGGCTCTCTCCGCGACATCTCGGCCACCTCCCTCGCCCTCTTCACCATCCCTTCCTCCCTCGCCTCCTTGATCCCCGCCGCAATCCTCGCCCCTGACCGTTTCGCAAACGGCACCGGCCGCGCCGCCACCCCCAACTCGAACACCCGCTGTGCCCAATACGGCTGATCGATCGCGACCGGGACTGGCACTTGCGGTACTCCCGCGCGCGCGGCCGCCGCAATCGTGCCTGCGCCCGCGTGGTGCACGATGGCCTTGCATCGCGGGAATAACAGGGCGTGCGACGCGGTCGTGGAAATCACGAATACCCGGTCCGAGTCGAGCGCTTGGAGCGCCGCGACTTGTGTCGGGAACGGAACTGCACCGGTGGCCGAGTACCCGCCAGCGAAAACGACGACCCGCGTCGAGCTCGGTACGTGCGCGAGCAAGTCGCGCAAGAGCGCAACCAAATCGAACGCGTCGACCGTGACCACACCGAACCCGACGTACACGGGCTTCGTACCCGCATCGAGCCACGCGGCCAGCGATGGGTCGAGCGGTTCCGCCGCGTCCTTGGGGATCTAGAGCGCCTCCTGCATGCGCGCGTGGGTGGGGAAGTCGTCAGGGACGGGCAAGAGGGTCGGGATGATCGTGTAAAAGTGCGGGAGGGCCGCAAGCGATTTGTAGACAGCGCACAGCGCGACGGGCGCGACACCCGCGGCAGTGCACAGACGGTCGGTCAGTGGACCCCACTAGACCTTGTACCCCATGAAGTTGTTGAAGTGGTGTAGGGCGCGGTTGATCCACCCGGCGAGGTTCGGGATCGCCGGAAGGGCTGGGATCGCCGGCGGGAACGTGCGCGTCGGGTACGTCATCAAGAACATTTCTACCCCGACCACCGTTGTCGCGGGCGCCACTTGCCGCAACACCACCGCGTGGTGTGCGAGCAAGTAACCCACGACCAAGACCACATCGAACGACGACGCGACGGCCACAAGCTGCGTCGCAATGTCGGTGAAATCGGACCGGCCAAAGAGCGCGTCGCTGTCAGTGAAATCGTTGTTGACAAACGCACGCATTGCACAGGGGGAACCGAACGTGCCGAGTGCGGTGCTGGCGAGAACTCGTATTTACTCACACAAATGAGAGTTCCTGGAAGAGGACATCATGGGCAGCTTTCACCCCAATTTTCAGAAGAAATGGTCAAATACTGGAGGAGGAGAACGGCTGTGAATTTTGGGCTGATTGGAGCGGCCGCGAGACGCGCTTCTCGAAGTCCAAAGTCGCGGCTGCCAGCCCGCCATCATGAACCACTCCCCCCAGCGCATCACACACTCGTTTTCTCGGCCGAGAATGCCCATTTTCCTACATTATTTGGGCTTCCGCATCCTTTTCGGCAAGTTGGGAGAAGTCTGGGGGTCGGGAACAGGTCTGTTTGAAGTCGGGAGTTTCATACTACATTGGTAGTCAAAATGTGCAAGCTGGGCATCGCGGCCGGCCGCTTTCGATGACACTTTCGACTTGTATGTACGTGGTAGTAGTCCGGGTCATAAAGGGTTAAATGCCGCTCTCTTTGACCGGAGACGCGCTTTGAGACAACGAGCCGAACGTCAGGAACTGACGGCCGATCGAGGGATATTGGTATCTCACAGGAACAACAAGGTGAGATGATGGAATCTGGAATCCATCCGCAGACCAAGGCAATTAGCCTCCGTTCACTAATCGATTTCACCCCACGGTCGGTGAAGACCATTCATTGGTCGGTGGAGAACATTCTCTGCACGAGTGTGTGCCAGTGCGCCTGTGTCGCCAACGGTTACAACAATGAGAGCGGTTGTTGGGCCTATGAGTTGGTCGCTGATTAAGGTGGCAAGTTGCACCGACTCGCGTTCGTCCCGGTGTGTGTAGCAAGGAGCTCCTTGGTGCACGACTTGATGGTCCTTGTGAACTGTCAGGATGTGGTCGCTCGCTGATCCGGTCCTGCGCGCTGTCTACAACGAATTGAGCAAACGAGCCAGAATATATGGCCAGCTGACTGTGCTTAGACAAGTGCGTGTCAGGCATTCTCGAGCGCAATCTGTCAGCGGCTTTTTGCATGACGGCTATTACAGGCAGTGGTGCAATCATGTCAGCGAGATCATTGGACTGACCGTTGCTTGCATGAGCATCGAAGGAGATGTTCAAGGCGACCTGTTGCAGGTTCTGCGCTTTGGTAACAACAACCAAAGCTGTAAAGCCGCGTAACTTGGGCGAGATCTTGATCACTTCGCTATTAATTGATTGAAACACAAGCATGGTGACCTGTTGTCAACGCCGCCGTGAGACCAGCTGAGCGGCGAGCGGTGATGGTCAGATCCATCGTAGCACTGATTGTTCTTGACTTCCTTCGATGATTGTAAACAGGTGCGGGTAGAACGTGGCGGAAGAGACGACGCTTTGTACCGATTCATATAAAGCTAGCACATTCCATCGTCAAGGAGAGGCGAAGTTACTGCGTCACAAGGAGCAGCAATCGACCTTGCTGAAGTTTGTGGCATGGCTCGTGGTGTAAGTATCTCACTTTCCAAGTCACAACACCAACACCAATTAATTCCTACCGCGCCCCTGCTGCGACCCGCCATCAGGGGAGCTACTGCCACCACTCTCTCCGCCTTCTGCCC